TTCCCTTTTTCCTCTCTCTTCGTCTCTCTTCGTCTCTCTTCGTCTCTCTTCCCCCCCCCCTCCCCTCAAAAAAAAAAATAATAAGACCGAAGAACGAAAAGAGCTCGACAGGAGAGATGAGGGAAAGAGAAAAAAACAAAGGGGGTGGGGGGTTCCCCTTTCTTCCCTTTCATCAGAAATGGAGATATGCAGCGTGCATAATGATCTTTTGATAGGCTCTCTTTTCTCCATTGGTGAAGCAAAAAGGAGAATAACAAAGGTTTGCTTTATTTCACATGCGTGGTATGGCTTTGGATGCGGCTGTACGAGTGAAGGGGAAGATCACTTGTATATATCGTCGCATATTCATAAATAATAAAAAGCAACCCATTTTTATAAGGGTCGTGTAGAGATGAAAACGAATAGTGCAAAAAAACATCAATGAAAATCCCTTCTTTTTCACATTTTAAAAATCTAATTATTAACAAGGGAAACCCTAATATATAAAATATTTAACTACTAGTGAGAACACTCAGATGAAGGGCGTGTGGACGTGTGTGTATGTGTTTGTGAGGGGGAGGAATCAAACCTGGAAAAGTTGTAGGGATGGAATCTCAGAAGGCACTAAGTTTTGCAAAATGTGTATAGGTGCTTATAGGGTTAATAGTGCTAGTTGGATGCTTTATTGCAACAATTTAGTATGCTTTATGCTAAATAAAAAGATCCAATCTCTAAAACTTAACTACAAGGATAAGCTTGATTACTTATTTTATTAATAATATGTCTCCTAAAAGTTGTTGCCAGTGGTGTCGGTGGAAAAATTTAACCTTACCCTCAGAGGAACAACAGTTTCCTGAATGGTAGTAATCGATCTGACATTAGGTTTCATATTTTGACTCTCTTTCGTACATGTGTGCCTGCGCATGCGGAATGTGAGGCACATTTCATTTCGTTCCTCGTCTTAAACTAGTTCATTCATATATATATATATATATACATATATATATATATATATGTATATACCACATACATATTTCACGCACTTAGGATGTTTATAAGGTATTTTGCAATTGGTTCACTATGTGGTGTTCTTGCTTGTGTCCGGCATTGTAGGGATCTCGTAGCGGAGAACTCGAGGGAGCTGCGGGCGTACTACAAGAGTATTGCCGACTGCATGGATCAGATGAGGACGATAGAGGAGCTTGCCGGACCGGAGGGGGTCTCCGTTCGTGAGTTGACAAAATTTAGCACACCGGTTGGGAGCACCCAAAGGGCAAAACGGGTTACCTATATCTTTCCATAGAGGAGAGGTGTATGGGTGCGGCAAATCAAGGAATGGGGGGGAGGGAGGGGAAAGTGGAGTTCTATGTTCATTGGTTCTTTTTTGTTGCGTATGCTTTACATATTATTATTTGTTTACATAAATATAAAAAAGAGGAGTCTATGCTCGGAGCTTCACCCTTTAAAGATTTGGCCTCTAATCTTTTTGATTTTTCATTAGTGATGCATTGCTTTAGCATAAATATATGGAATTCAACTAATATTTTTCAGGTTGTGTTGATTTAATATATGTTTGTAAGGTAATAAGATTCAATTTTGTCTAGGTATTACAAAATAGTTTCTGTTGTATTTATAAACAAAAAGACACGGTATAGAGGTGCAAAGAGTAAACTTATTGCATCTTTGCTTTCTTTTCCGAATATAGTGCTTTGGACGGTTTCTTTATCTGCTCACTAGTTATTACTGTCCGCTGCGAAACCAACTTTCCTCAAAGTTTCTCTGTTCTTGATTGAGACCTGTAGTACACTTGCTGTGTACGACGTGGCTCCCATCCCCCGCCCCTCTCCCTCTTAGAACCTTGAAGAGGGTGTGAAGCAAACGAAAGGCAGAAAATAGGGCGTAACTCCCCCTATTTCATACGAAAGTAGAGGTGGTGCATAAACCAATCCTTTTTTTTATACTTTTCATTCTTTCCGCGTTTATTCTATTGCTTTTACCGACCAATGTCCTATCTGTGTGGGCAGTTTGATACGATTGTGCAGAAGTTCTTCCAAAGCGATGCGCCCGCGTCGGCCCCGGTGATCACGACGCCCCTGACGGATTTGTTAGCCGGTTCTTTCGGGGAAGGAACTCACGACCGCAGCACCCCTGGCAGTTCTGCGATTCGCGGGAACCCCCCTAATCGTCATCGTTACCCCTCCCGGGAGGCCGCGAATCGTCTTCACGGGGGGTGTCGGGAATCCTTCCCAGTGGGACACCACAACCCCCCTTCTCCTGCGATGATCAACGTCACCCAAACCGCCACAGGGTTATCCGGTGGGGGCCCTTGCAAAGACCCCCCGCTTCCCGTGAATTTCGACTCCTTCGGCAAAAGCGCCGACCTCGCGGCGGGGCCAATGGAATCGATCCCCGCCGCCCTCCCTTCTCTGTCTTCGCTCCTCCCGGGCGAGGACGCGCGGGTGAGCCCGGAGAAGGCCTCCGAGGAGGATTTTTTACTCCCCCCGTTGTTGGCGTACTTCCGCAGCCCCCTCGCGTTGTATAGCGGGGCCCGGACGAATCAGCTGCAGCGCGATCACGCCGCCGGGGGGGTGCGCGTGGTCGCCCTCCCCGCCTCCTGCGGGCCGCTGGTCGCGCAGTACCTCCCATTAACCCCTCGTCGCGCGCGGAAGATGATGAACGATTGGGTGTTGAACGTCCGGTTGTGTTAATTTCTCCCCCGGTGACGGGGCGCGCGGCGGATCCGT